GAAAAATAAAGGATAGAGATAATAAAGAATATTTATAAGAATAGTGGAAATGTAGTTTAGACAAGTAAAGAGAAATCAAAAGAATTTAAAATGAAAATAGGAGCAAAATAGGGATGTTCTAAGCCCTTTGTCATTCTCAATAGTACTACTTGGAACCATAAAAGAAATGAATAAAGAAATGAAGACCTTAAGGTTGGGAAATTGGAAAATGGGAGAAATACAACTGTGTGAATCAATATTTGCAGATGTCATAGTGATAGTATTTGTTCTGAACAGCACGGCTAAGGAACAGATGAATAGAAGGACTGGAACTGAAAATAGTAAGAGACAAGGATGAGAAGGTATTAGACGAAGGACACAGAACAGAAATAAATAGAGAGAGAAATTAAAGCATAATAATAAGTTAAATAAAAACTAGTCTTGCATGAAATGGTAGATACAAATAGGATTAAAAAAATATAGGCAACATACAAAATACCTTCCAAATATACAAAACGCCACTGGGGAATTGTGTTATTTATATATTAATTATAATACTGAAAATATACGTGACCAAGCAAAACGCGAAGCCTTCGTTGAGCTCGGTTCAATTTCATCCAAACAATACTTCATAAACGTTTTTTGCATTAAACAAACTACAAAATAATTCCCAACAGTGTAGGAACGTTTATGTTCGCTTTTGTTTTTGCAACGAAAGTAGTCGGAATTCCTGTGCGAATTTAGGTAACGCCATTGGTTTTATTACTCTGCAGCATCGGTATTCCGTCGGCGACGAGCGTTTAATTAGTTTTTTAATGGCTTCATAAAATGAATAAATTTACATAGGCCGGGCTACTGTTGTCATTATTAAGTTCGATATAGCAATTTATATGAATTTAAAGGGAGACGGAGGAAACCTAAACAAAAATAATTAAACTTCCTTATGGCATCAACAGGAAGTGCTATACTCGTATTAATTTGGAGAACAGGTGAATGATTGTCGGAGAAATTTGTTAATGGAAAACAAACGATTCCGTTAAAGTGATAGCTCAACTGAATTTGAATAATTTTTCAGTATTGATTAGAAATTGTTGGTATAAAATATCGCATTTCTCTTTTTTCAGTAAACTTTAACTACTGGAAAAAATTAAAAGAATGAAAAATGTTCATGAATTTTTAGTGATCTTCGAAAGGTTGTATCTTATCTTATTTTAGACAAAAATTTTGTTTGAGCTACGGTTATCGAGCAAACAAAAGAAACAGAGAAAAAAATGTTCCAAATTTTTTTTTTTTTAGGGCTCTAGGTACATGGACTCAGGGAAATATTTCTTACATATATACATTATATACAGGGCAGATGAATTAATGAATTCTAGTGAAAGAGGGAGGAGATATTGGTCAAGATTCTACAGGGAAGCAATTAAAATCTATAAGAATTGAAATAATTTCATAGAAAGGAGTTATAACTATCTGCAATTTGGAAACGATTAATTTACAAAATTCAAGGACTAGAACGACACAGACCAATGACTACAAGAAATGCACTGCAACGCCATAACTAGTGCACACAACAAATATAAATACCAGCCAGAAGACTTAACTTACAGGTTCAAAGTTTCCTCTGAAGAAGAAAGCGATATGTCTCTCGAAACGTCAAGAAGACAGCAAAGCTAAGTTTGATAAAAATATCCAGGGATTTGATGGTATTAATTCTGATATGTTTCCGCATTATCTAATAGAGAATTACCATTAAAATACGATTTTTTTTAATTCTGTATTTTTTTTATCTTTATCATCTAGACATTAGTTTTTAAAAATTGACATAGAAGTAGATGGGACGGTGTAAGGCAATTTTTGTTAATTTCTTCAAATTTTTAAATTCTTTTGTTTCTTTTCTTTTGAGTTGTATTATTGGACTTTAGCTATCTTAAGATCTCAATATTAAGTGATTTAATTTTTCCAACTTAAATTGATTAAATTTGCATCAGAATACACATTTTTTTTAATAATGCCCTAATCTTAGTCTAGAACAAAAAGAAAAAGTAGATATCCAAAGAAATGGCAATGTAGGAAATCTAAGTTTTGCGAAAAAAAAAAAGAAAGTGCTTGTTTTAAAAATCAATATTTTTCAACCATAGACATACCCAGGAAAAGTTAAAAGTGCCATTGGGCACTCCTTTATCTCTTAATTTAAAAAAACGACTTAGTTATTAATAAAAAAAAATAATTGTAATTTTGACAGCCATTATCTTGAAAAAGAAGTGCCTTGATGGAAATAAAATATTGTTATTCTTGCCCAAAGAATCTGTTATTTCGCAACACCCTGTATAATACAATTTTTAAATTATTTTGTTAAAAAAAATTATACGAAATACGAAAATATTATTCTTATTTTAGTAGTAGTATACTTAGTAAATATTTTTTATTCAACAACTGGGCAACATATAAGTAATACACAGCCCTACCAAAAAGTAGTAGGTCCCAAAGACAAGATCATGATATCCATATGTTTTTGGGGTCGCTAAATCCGAATCCGGTGTTCGTTTGACCCGATTAGCTCCATAGAGAATTAGCTGCCAACAAAGTAAACTTACATATTTATAGCTTTTTGAAGTTGATGTATCCGAATCCGGTGTGCGTTTGACCTGATCAGGTCTGATAAATACTCTCAAGTTCCACTTAAAACACTAAGCATTTATGCGTAGGTATTAAAATTTGATTAACAAATAAGATTAAAGAAAGAAAGCTTTAACTCTGAGTCTGTGACTCTAGAGTTAATTGTTTTAACATGACAAAATCCTTAATCCTAATTAAGTAAGCTTTAAACCAATGTGTCCGTTAATGCTACCTATACATTCATTTACACAATGAGTCCATATGGATTGAGATTTTTGAACGGTGTTTCAAGAAAATAAGTGTTTGTATTGAAGAATCACTTGAAATCACTATATCTCACCATTATAACGAGCGTTCAAATAAAAACGTGGTCAAGTTGGTTCTGAAAATTTGGACGTAGGGCGTAGCGTATAGCAAATGAACTTAAACGTCATCTGTCAAAGCGCTATATCGCCGCTATCAATTTGAATATTTTCGTTTTAAAAAGCGTTTAAAATGGTGTTGCCTCAAGAACAAAAAGTGTTTACATAGAGTCCTCCTTTAGAAATGGACGCAAGATTGATGGAATATGGAAGTATTCTATTGAGGAATGTTTCATAGAATTTCAAAATCAATTTCCCGGCGTTGTTGAGTACAAAATTTTTCAAAGTGCAGTTCAGCGTTGTGTTAATGTTTTTCGTGAAACGGGCAGTGTAACAAGAAAAGAAGGAAGCGGCCGACCTAAAAAGCGGACTGAAGAATTAAAAGAAAATGTCCAACAAATAATGGAAAATGCGCCAAGAACTTCTGTACGTGTTTTATCACAAATGGTGGGAGTATCAGTCGGTACCTGCCACACAGTGTTAAAAAAAGATTTGCGTTTGTTCTCCTATCGTTTAACTTGTCAGCAAGAACTTCATGAAGTTGATTTTCCGCGACGGGCTGTATTTTGTGAATGGTTTTTAAACAACTACGGTGAACTTCATAATATCACCTTTTTTTCTGATGAAGCCTGGTTTCATTTAAGTGGTTACGTAAACTCACAGAATATGAGAATGTGGTCTTCTGAAAAACCAGATAACTTTTTTGTCGAGGGCCCTCTACACGCTCAAAAAATTGGAGTTTGGTGTGCTCTCAATCGAAGGAGGATTTATGGACCTATTTTTTTTAATGGTACTCTTACTGCGCAAAGGTATAGAGAAGAAATTATCGCTCCTTTTGTTAACCAGCTGGAAGAAAACGAAATTACAAACTTTTACTTTCAACAAGATGGCGCAAGGGCACATACGGCAGGCGAGACGATGAATATGTTGAGGGAAGTTTTCCAAAATCGACTAATAAGTCTCAATGCTGAACATGAATTTCCACCGAGGTCATGTGATATTACGCCGTGTGATTTCTTTTTGTGGCCTTACCTTAAAAACACTATTTTTGAACTGCCTATTCCTGATTTAAACCATCTGCAGGCTCGACTTATAGACAAGATTCGTGAAATTAACAATACCCCGAGCATCTTAGAAAATGTCTTTAATTCTTTGAGGAACAGGTGTGAAAAGTGCTTGGAACAAGGAGGGGGACACTTTCAGCAGCTGCTTTAATTTATTGTTATAACAAGGAGGGGGACACTTTCCGCAGCTCCTTTAATTGTTTGTTATTGTTATCACGATTATTCTTTAAAATAAAGTTATATAGTCATTAACGTTATTGAAACTGACAGCTGCTATACAGCTCGTTGAGAAATGAGGTTAAGTTGGTCGCTATAAGCTACTCCCTACGTCCAATGTGTCAGAGCCAACTTCGACCACGTTTTTATTTGAACGCTCGTTAGTAACGAGACTACTACTCAGTTTTGTGGTATTGAACTATTTTGTTGTCAAAAGGTCTGCGAAATGGATTTCTTTTATGTTTTCTCGATATCAATGGTAAATCTCGTTTTTTGACTCCAAAAACATGTGGATACCAAGGTCTTGTCTTTCGGACCTCTTACTTTTTTTTTGTAGGGCTGTGAAAAACAACTGTGATGGCCTCATATTTTAAGAGGAGTTTTTTCTTTTAAAAATGTTCTCTTATTATTATTTTTTCTTTCACGAAATACGTGGGATAAATATTGTCGGCTAATTTTAGGATATTTCGCATTGACACTAACGTGATTAAATTTATCATTAAACAAAGGAACTGAAACGATATTAAGTAGATACATGCAAGCTTGTATTTTTGTTATAAAGTTCATACTATTCGTCGAAGCCAAACTTCCATCAGCCTATATTGTGTAAAACAAGCAAATAAAAGAGCTTGGGAAAGTCCGTAACGATATTATACATCCTCGATATTTCCTTGAACGAGTTCCGACTCAAAAATAAATTCCGCAGAAGCCCCTCGGAAACTAAGTTAATACAACAAAACTTTGAATAGAGAGATATACGTACGTCCATGCAGGAGTTAATATTATTTCCTATCTTAATGTCTACTTCCAAAGTTTCCCTCACTCGGAGGCTCGGGGGCAGATGAAATTCCACTTGTAGCGGTCGGAAAACTTGTACTTGGACGGGAGCGGAAAACCTGAGGCCGCTGCTGGACACGGTCAGCGCCCAAAGGGACCACTTACCGGCCTCTTCGGGGGCCGTGATTGTCAATCCGGTGGACGCTATTTCTGATCTGGAAGAGAAAGGAAGTTAGATAAATGTTGTTCGCTTCGGTGGAAGGTTTACGGGTAAGCGGTCACACTAGAATAAGTAGCATTCACGGTGTCTCAAAAATGCGTGTATATGAGGCAAATCACTGAGGTCGTGACCCGACCACTTTTATTTTTCCTGATTTTTTTGTATTATTTAGTACCCATTTAGAATAGCTATCATGAATTTTTTCAAATTTTTATTTCAACCCCTCAACACATAAAAATAATTGTTTAATTCAATGTAGTAAAATTTAAACTAAACAAATAATATCTTCCCATATCCGCAATGCAAACATGTATTTGAACAAAGAATATTATTTCTTTAAAATATTTATTTCAATTAAATAATAAACGCTTCACATGAAAAATATTTATGTATTGAAATAATGTAGTACATATTGTTGACTCAAATTTTTCATTGGTTTAGAGAAAACATTTGTAATTTTATTTTAAAAATACTATAAAATTAATATAACATTACATTTGTTCTAACAAAACAAAATATATGTTTGAAAGAAAATTATTGTTTTTTAAATATAAATAAATGGTTTTATTTGATATGAGACTATAACTTTCCTGAATTAAATAAAATAGTTCTTTGGAATAAAAATTTGGAACTTTTTTAGGAAAGATAGGGTAAGGTTAAAATAAATGTATGAGTATGTTTGGATAGAATGTATTTTTTCTTAAATAAACGTATACACAAAACATTACAAATATAAGAAATAATTTTAAGAATTAATGTTCCTTAGCTGTTTATGTATAAAATAACATTCACAAAAATATAAATAATTTTTCCGAGACAGTGTGAAATACGGTAGGTTTAACTGTTCCTAAAGTTTTAATGTCTACCGTTACAAAATTTTCAGAGATCTTCACAGAATAAGCACTATGATGCAAATCATAATTTAAGGTAATTAATAAATAGAAATGAAAACAAATTATTGTATTGTTGTCTTCATTAATAATGATGTTTTCTATTATACCGAAAGAAGGATTAGGATACCTAATAAAACACAAGACTTGATTTTGTAAAAAATACCATTAATTTTTAACCATGGCACGCAAAAACTTGAAGATGAAATTTCTGAATTAGATGGAAGGATAACGTCTCCTTTTATTAAATTTTGAATTGGTCCATGTTCAAACGTGTCTATTAGTCCTTTTGTGATAAAATTCTATACGATAATTTAAGCTGCGTCCGCATACAAAGTGAAAAATGTACATTTTTTCTACATGTAATAAGGGTAGCTAAATATTTTAAATCTTTATGTTTTACTTCGTATCTAATGGAGCTAACATGTATTACAGGTCCAATTTTCTTTATTATATTTGGGTAGTGAAGCAAAAAATTAAATTTAGGCTTTAAATTTTCTTTAAATAGTTTTAAACACATTAGGTGATGGTCTTCAATAAGACATTTTAAAAAATCAATGGATTCATCATTAAAGATAGACAAAAATAACATTTCGGTTATTTCTAATAAAATTAAGTATAGTATCCATGTTTTATCATTTTCTGGAACTAAATCTCTAATAATTAAATGAAAATTTAAAACTAAGGAAAGCATGAAGATGACAGTAATATAACCGTTTCTAATTTGTTCATGCATACTTAATGTTTGGAGGAATGTTTTTATTTATACATATAAGAGTTATACTTAATTCGAGCATTTAGTAATGTAGCTTAATGTAAAATAGTTATTAGTTAATAAATTGTTAATAATTTTCGCCATTTCATAACGATGGATTCCTTCGAAAAGGTTATGCATTAAATCACAACTAATATTTTTATATATGTGAAAGTCATCCAGTTCAATGAAAATGCAATTTTCCTTAACACCATAATCAGAAGCAGTTAAATGTTCTAAGTAGTCTTGTTCTTGTCTAAGACTACATTACACACTCCTACGATGTACTACACAGTACAGTACACCACAGACTATACACCATACACACTCACACTACACTGCAAGTTATAAAACACATACGAGACGAGTAACTGCATGTGGTAGAAGTTAAAAGTCTAAATGCCTTTGGCTGTCGCTGAAAGTTAATCCACGCTTTTCGCCGTAGTTTTAAAAATATGATAGTTTTGAATTAAAACAATATACTAAAATCAACTATACCACATCTTTAAATGCAGTTTATCTGAAAATTTAACGATATGATAGTTTTATGTCAATAAATACTATTATTCCTTTGATAAAATAAGTGTTTTAATTTGGACTTATGATTTATTTGTTTTAAATAAGTTCATTTAAATTAAAATAACCAAAATGTAGATGCAACCTTAAAACATGATTGTTTTAAAGAAATTGATTTGTTTTACATTATAATTTACTATGTTTTAATACATTATATTATATGTTTAAATTTAGGATGTATCTTTGATTCTAATACATTTTCTAAACATAAAATAGAATTGTTCCAAATACATGAGTAATACTGAAATAAAGATATATGATCAAATTAAATAAATATTTCTTCATAAGAAACAATTGCTTTTAAAGAAATTTGTAGTTTATTATTAAAGATACCTTTTTATGTGTGAAGAAATTATGAACATTTGAATATTTTTGGTAAAAAAAAATTTCAAATACCTGGCAAAAACTAAAGATATCATAAACTTTTTTTTTCATTTTGATCGTTTTGAGACGTAGTTTTATATCAAAAAAATTAAAAAAATAATGCATTTAGTTTTTTGAGTTTTTTGTTTGGATTTTTAAACCAAAAAAGGGCTTTTTAAAAAATCTTTAAATATGCAAATTTATGAGAGAGGTTGTGAAATGGAAAATTTTTTCATTTTTTTCTCGCATTTAAAAAAAATTTACAAATATATGCCATTAACAGTTTGTTTATGTATAAGTGTTTTAAGTAGCATTTTAAGTGGATAAAAGGCAATTAAAACAAGAATGCAATACAACGTTTTATATAATCACATCACAATCATATTTGTGGAGTCAGAATTTAATAGAAAAAAAGAATATTGGCACGACTTGATATTTCTTACTAGTACTCAATGAAACATGGTAGTTATGGTACGTTGTTTATTGTCAATTATTCAATAATAATATGTGTCACTAATGTGGTCATATTTTCGTAATCCATAGGAAAATCTAATACATGCATTTAGCACCTTCTGCAGGCTTTCTTTATCTTTATTCAAAATAGCGGGCCAATAGACTGTGTCACAGTAAGTAGTATATTACTAAGAATTAGAGAATCACATAATTTTAATTTTACATATATAGTTAAGTAATCTTTGTGAACATAAAGGGATCGCAATTTAGCATAAGATTTTTGCAATAAAAAAATTAACGTGTGTAGAAAACCTAAGATCTCGATCAAAATACACTCCTAAGTTTTTACAGTCATTACTAGGATTCAGAATTGTTCCATTAACAGAAATTTTAAAACGAAAATCATTCGAGATTAAATATTTATTCTTACCAACAACAAGAAGCTGCGTTTTAGTTCCATTTAAAATTAAACCATGTGCTTGAGACAATATTAAAATATTATTTAAATTACTATTAATGTTTTGAACTGAATTATCCAGGTCACCCAGTGGAAAACGAAAATATAATTGGAAGTCATCTGCATATTGATGCGAATGGGCATTTCTAACCGCACCCGGTAGGTCTGCAGTATAGATTGAAAACAGCAAGGCACACTACTCTGTGGCACTGCCACAGTAATATTAATTAAAGTAGAAGAATTTCCACTAATAACAACTTTTTGACGTCTACCTGACAAATAATCCTCAAAAAAGTTAACAACTCTGTAATCAAGTCCAAAATATTTAAGCTTACATCATAAAGTAGCATGATGAATTGTATCGAAAGCCTTCCTATAATCAAGCAACACAAGACACGCATTCTCATTATTATCATATCCTCTATATAACTCATCCGATACATGTAACATAACAGTAGAAGTACTATGATGCGTTCGAAATCCTGACTGCGTTGAAGGTAGAACGTCAAATTTGTCCAAAAAGTGAGTCAGCTGTTCATGAACAATCTTTTCCAATATTTTTGAAAAGGTACAGAGTATACTAATGGGACGAAAATGTGTTAAATCAGAGGGTTCTGAATTCTTAGGTATAGGGATGACTACAGCATCCTTCCAACAGGATAGAAAAGTAGCGGAGTTCATGCATTTATCATCTTACAATTAATTCCATCAACTCCTTTCGCATTCGATTTGATAGTGTTAAGAATTTCCAGTACCCTCTGTGGCGAAACATTATTAAATTTAAATTTTTCGGATATATTAGGCGCTAATTTATCCTTGTAGGTATTAGCAATATAATCATTGTCAACATTACCGATGGTAACTTGTTAACAGTAATAAACAGTACTATTTGAATTTGATAAAAATGGAAGAAAGTAATTGTGTTCTTGTGGCTGTTTTTGAAGAAGCTCAAGAAGCAATTTTCCATTTATTGCCAGCGAAATCCATGGAATATTACGAAAAAGTGTTCGCCGAATTTAACGAATGGAGGGAAAAACGGAGAGGAATGACAATAAATGAAGAAATCGTGCTATCGTATTTTTTAAATTTGAAGAAAAAATATGCCATTTCATCTATGTGGTCGAAGTATTCGATGTTGAAGGCTATTATAAATGTCTACAGAAATATAGGTATTGGAAAATATAACAAGCTTATAATTAAGAGTGAATCGAGAGGATACAAAGCAAAAAAAGCTACAGTACTGGAAACAACACATATGGAAGAATTTTTGACTGGGGTTTCCGATAAAGAATATTTAATGATTAAGGTAATATCTTAACCTTTTACATGTTGTTAGGCATATAGTGAACTTGTATTATTTTAGGTTGCACTAATAATGGGGAGTTTCTGGTGCCTGTTGATGCCGCGAATTAACAAATTTGAAAATTAATGACGTACAGGACGTTGGCAGTTACCGACTTGTTTCAATACCTGACACCAAGACGTGCATTTACAATTATAGA